TCCTCCTACCTTTGTAATTGCTTCAAGTTGTTTCTCTGCTGTTAGAGTGATTTGAGAGGGCAAATGACAATGCCAAAAAGATGTAAATGAAAAGTCTGGATTAATGACAAATGATGTCAAAACCTGAGAATGTGAATGCAAATTGTAGTTAGACTAAAAGAAAGTGAAATGCCAAAAAGCATATTAAGCGAACACTACATTTGAAAGGTTTTATAGAAAAAAGAAAGATGAGTGTGTCCTGTATAATCATGTCTTATTCCTCTTTACGCTGGACCTTTATTAACCAAATTGATCATAAAAACTAATTAAAGTAAAATGTGCTTCACGTGCTGTGTCTACACTGCGCTGAGTGAAGTGAACAATTTGCAGGGCCCCAGAAGATGCCTTCCTCCCCTCTCCCTCGAGAGGCCCAGAAAGAATCTCCAGCCATCACGTAAGCCCTAGAGGGCTCTGAGTCCCCGTGTTAGCGAAAGTTACAGGCTCTGGGAGCTGGAAAAGGTCTTGGGAGTCATCAAATCCCATCCCCTCCCTTTATAGGGGTGGAAATTGAGACCCTCAAGGCTAAGCGATGTGCTTAAGACCACATAGCAAGTTAGCGGCAGAGCTGGACAAGGATGCCTGTTCTATTGTGCTGTGGGAATTCTCAGCCTTCCTTCTTCCCCAGGTCTTCCTGTCTCTGCTCTCTCTCCCTCCATTCCCAGCTGATCTTTTCCGGCACCTCTTGACCCCTCTGTCTTTCCCCCGGTGGTTAAATCCTAACATCCTGGGCCCAGCCTGGCTTGGGCCCTGTGGAGCAGCAGCTGGCGGGACAGCTCACCAGGAACCCAAGTGACTTCACTGGGCGAACTCACCTCAGGGGCACTCCTGTGCCGTGGGCTTCGGCCTTTTGCTGTGTCATCATGATTTGGCACCATTAAAGCCCCTCAGGCCTCTGAGGACAGTGGAAGAAGAGCTCCTTTTGGACTGGGAGCCCTGCCTTCGCTGCAAGGCTGGCTCTGGAGGTTTGCTGTGGTTTTCTCAGAGTCATATTTCAGCGATGACTGTGCTTTTGATCACGACCTAATGAATGTCCTAAAGGACTGAATCAGAAACACATATGGGAAATGACGCAGAGGCAGTGACCTCCCCGAACACGAGGCCGTCCTGGCTGGCACCCTGAGAGCTGAACCTGTCACCTGCAATGCTGCTTCGGCCTCCTCAGCCCCATGGCCCCTGCTCTTGGGTGGCAGACCCCAGTGTGGGGAAGGGGGTACCGTTAGTGGAGCACTCGTCTACCAGTCTCACTCCCTAGCCCAGCGCAGCCAATGCCTGCAGTGTTCATTCAGCCAAGTTGGCCAGATCCTCTGGCTGCCAATGCCCTTGACTTGGACCCCCACAAACCCCCCTCTTGCCGTAGGCCGGTCTCTGGCAGTGATTCTCTGGCCCTCTGCTTTGGAGCCTGACTCTAAAATTGCCTCCTACTCACCCTCTAATCACGCATATGTTCATGGATCTTTGCTTGCGTGGAGCCTTTGAGACTAGGTCATTTTTTAAATAAATAAATAGGATCTTACTAAACCTACGTGTTGACCCACGTTTGGGCTTTTGACTTGAATTAGGGTGTTCCAAAGGTGGGAAGAGACAGCCTCGCTGTTCCTTTGTGCAAGCAAGCTGTCATCGTCTGGCTGGGTAGATGTGGGGACATTTTACAGATGACTGCATCTCCCCACGAGGTTGACAAATTTTCTCTTTCCCATTTTTGTTGTTTCCGTGCTTGAAATCTCCCAATTCAATGCTACAGAATAACATAGCTCCCCAGTGAAATAATGGGATTGTGTCCCCTTGTCTGCCACACATAGGCCTCTGTATGGCAGGGAGCTCCCTTCAGGCTTCCTTATAACAGTGAGGAGGGTAACACCATCCTCCTTTCAATGGCTATTGTGTTAAACTCATATTCTATGTTGAACACATGGCAGAAACTTGAGAGTTTCATTTATAAATCCAAAATAATCGAGAGTATCACTCCCAACTGATTGGCCTGCAAAGCTACCAGAGTCAGGGTTGGAGGAGATGGAGTGAGCCACAAGATGGAGGGTTTCCCTTGTCAGGAATCAGACCTTCTAGCTCCCAGATCCTTGTTTCTGAGTATCCAAAGGAAGGTCCCATGAAGACTGCTGTCATCAAGAGAGTCTAATAAGTGCTGTCCAAGTAGGGGTTGTGATAAGTACCAACCAGAGGGGGCTAACCAGTCACAAGTGAAGCTCTCCTGAGCTCATCAAGCTGCCAGTTTACAGGCATGTAAACTGTTGAACTAGCAAGAGAATAGGCTAGGCCCCCTGACATATGTTCCCCTAACATCCATAGTTCAGCTGTCATAACCCTCACTCAATGTCTTTACAATAATTTGTGTAACATCTTTTCTCCTCTATAGGCTATAACCTCTGCAAGAACAGACCTTGTCTGTCGCCATCACAGCTGTATCCACCAGGGCCCAGCACAATGCCTGTCACATAGTAGGCATGCAATAAATATTTGATGAATGAATGAGAGATGGATAGGTGGATGGATGGATGGATGATGGATGGGTGGATGGAGCTGAATATATTCATACCATGGTCTTGCGTTTATTTTCCAAAGAAAACTTATTAGCAGTAGCATGTTAACACAATGTGGAATTGTACAGAAATTGCTCTCCTTCGAATTTAGTTGAAGAAAGCCTCACAGGTGATTTTTAAGACTGATGACCAGATTTAAAGGCTGATGACCATATTTTTCTATTTAAATTCCTTTTCTATTAGCCCTGAATTCAGTGAACTTTAATTTCTGACATTTTCGTCTGTCTTCTTTCATTCTAGGTTTTGTTGCTTGTTGTTTTTGTTGATGTAATGTCCCAGAATCTGTGTGGCAAGGGGCTGTTCATAAATTTACCTGGAGAAACTCCATCATTGTCCACACCTACCCAAGATATCGTTGAGACATAACAAATAGAATTCCAAAGACATTTCAAATTTTTTGCCTTTGGCTCTTCCTTGCATCATTCACCAATCCATCATCCTTCATGGAAGATGTCTATCTATCTCCCCTCCAGGTTGAACAGATCCCATGTCCTGAAACTCTCTTGTCATTGAGCAGTCCAAAGTACAATTCTCATTTTGATAACAACTCTTACTAAAAGATGAAGAGGGTGGCTTTATGGTGGGTTTGTATCCAGACCCTGACTCTATCTGCTTGTGTTGAAATAGAGTATTATAGTTATCCCCCCACTCTCTGAAAGTAGAGCATTCCTGTGAAACCTTTTGTAAGCTGAAATGGCATAAAACAAAGCAATTACCATTAATTTGTATGAGAAAAATTTTTGAGTGTTTCTAGACCCCAAAAAATAATCTACCAAATCATACCAAATAACACATAAAACCTAAAATAACATGAACATATAGTAAAAACAGGGATGATGTGATAAATACACAGCCTAAATAAGGTAGAAATGATGTCTGAACAGTGTAGTTTCACTTACCAGAATTGCAAAGACAGCGAGCACACTGGAAGGCTGAAACATGGTGGTGGTGATGATGGTGATTAGGTTGAGTCGTCAGAAGTTGGGATGGTGGGCGGTACAGGGGACTGGGGTATAGGAGTGAGAGGAAGAGGGTCATCTATTAACATCTCATCGCCATCTGAATGCATCAGAGCAGGCGGGTCAATAATGTCTACACCTTCTTCTATGTCTGTCTGCCTGAGTGTCGAAGGTCGAGGTTTGTTGTCTTCTGTGGCTGATGTAGAAGTCTTGAAATACGACAGTATGCTTGTCTGCTTAGCCTCTATAATGGCTCACTGCAAAACAAATGCTGAACGCTATTTTCACTATTTGTCTTTTTCTCGTAAAAGCAAAAATCCTCTTCGGATTTCTTTTGGTTAACGAAAACAGGTACTAATGTAGGTCTTTCGTAAAAGTGAAATGGTGTAAAAGTGAATTTTCAGATAGCAGGAGAAACCTGTAAGTGGAGACATGGATCAGATGGGTATCAAGTATTCTGCCCAGTTTTCCAGGACTTGGGTTGGAGGATGGACGGACACAAACCTTCAGAAGAGAGCTCCTGGGGCTCTGGAGAGGCTGGGAAGGGATGCAGGGTCTTCATGTGGGAGGTGAAAGCCATTGTCCTCCACCTCCCCTCCGACTCTCACCCCCTCCCAGGCCATCCCTGCCTTGAAGACCATTGCCTGGCTTCCAGAAGCAGAGTGCTGGTCTGCTGTTCTCTTCTCTGTGTGTTTACGTAGAGTTGAAATGATCAGGTGTGAGGATGTGCATTGACTTGGAGTGGACAGAGCAGACACAGCTCTGAGGATGGCGGGGAGACTGGGAAGGAGATGCCACCACCTCTGGCATCCAGCAAACACACATACCCTGTGCAAATAGGGGGTCCCTGGGCTCCCAGTTTCTCAAATGCCGCAATTAAAGGCAAAATGTACTGTATTGCGTAGATAGAAATGAATCTGTTCTCCATGACATATAAACATGTCCAGTATAATATATGAATCCAGGAGGCCTGGTGAAGTGGAGCTTACATCTCTAGTATTAATTCTCAGTTTCCTTGCTCTGTGTAGGTGCTCTCCTATATCCATCCACTCAGAGGATATCATCGTTTCTAAATTGATCATTTTAAAAACCCCAAATCAGAAAGCATAAGACTTCATTTCCATGATAATTTTTCTTTTCTCACAGGAGCAAGTTCTACCCATGATGACATCATATCCTTACTTCTGAAGGGAATAAACCTTTAAAAATAAATACGTGGTTGTCCTAGTTACAGAAATGGATTTTTTAAACTCCAAGCAGGTGATAATCACCAGCTGTGGATAGAAAGTTGGAGGAGGGTTTTGAAATAAAAGTTGTACCCCCATACAAACAATACCCCCATACAAACAATACCCCCATACAAACAACCTCACTGCAAAAGAAACTTCATTCTTATGCTCTGAAACGGGGCTTACTAAAATCATTTCTGTTATCTATTCTGTCACAGTGGAGACGTCGTTGCCTTTGAAAAATCCACTAATTTTAACAGCATTATCCAACAAGAAGAAACAGTGAGTGTTGAATAAAATAGACTTACTATAATAGACTCTGAAATATTTAATAATTGCGTAATTAGATGCAACTATTTCCCTGTGTGTAATGTTATGTGTAGCCCTGAACCACTCACCCATTCGACCAGGATTGTACATTGTCACCATGTGCCACGCACTGTGCTGGCACAGATGAGGTTTCTTCCCTCAAGGAGCATACTGTTCTCTGCACATCAGCTGTTTAGCTGTGTTTCTTTTACTACAATTAAAAAGGATGTCTAGGGCCGGCTCCGTGGCTTAGCGGTTAAGTGCGCGCGCTCTGATGCTGGCGGCCCGGGTTCGGATCCCGGGCGCGCCCCGAGGCACCACTTCTCCGTCCAACGCGAGGCCGAGTCCCACGTACAGCAACTAGAAGGATGTGAACCTATGACATACAACTATCTACTGGGGCTTTGGGGGGAAAAAAATGAATAAATAAAATCTTTAAAAAAAAAAAAAAAAAAGGATGTCTAGATTGTTAGCAATAAATCTATGTGAAAGTACCTCTATATTACAGCTATAGCTCTTTGAATTAGGACACCAGGATGATTAATAGCTAATCTATGGCATAGTGAGTTGAATTTTCGTTAAGTTGGTTAAGACGACGTGATGGTACTTTGATACTGTCTTGATGACAAGTGTCATTGAATGGACAACCTTTTAAAAACCTGTTTTGTGACCAGCACTTTTGAGGGCTGAATGAGGTGTGAAAAGGAAAAAAAGGAAAAACAAACAATAAAACACCAAAACCGTACTCCCTACACTTGAATAGAATACAGTTTCATAGTTGGGGAGCTAAGATAGACGCGAAATGACTGGTGTGCTGTTGAATGGGCAGTGCGGGCTATAGGTGGTCTGGAAAGTCCAAAGTGGGAGGGAGGGAGAAAGGTTGTGGTGGGCCAGAGCGAGTAGGGAAGGCTTCATGGAAAAGGTAGCCTGTGTTCATTTCCTATTGCTGCTGTAACAAATTAGCACAAATTTAGTGGCTTAAAACAACACAAACTTATTATCTTGCAGCTCTGGAGGTCACAAGTCTGACACGGTTCTCACTAGGCTAAGACTGAAGTGTTGGCAGGGCTACATTCTCTCTGGGGGATCTAGGGGAGAATCCGTTCCTTGCCTTTTCCAGCTTCTAGAGAGGTCACCCAGATCCTCTTTCAGCAGACGTTCATCTTGAGGGTGCAGCTTGCATATGTTCTGGGAGATGTACGGGCAGCGAGGAGCTGAAAGTGAGGATGTTCAGGGAGTAGTAGACGCTGGGAGAGGTCCGGGTGAGGGACAGCTTGTCAGTGCCAGGTTGAGGAATTTGGATTTCACCCAAGAGACTGTAGGAAACATTGAGGCATCTTCAGAAGGAGAATGACAGAATATGTTTGCTTTTGGGGTGATAATTCTGGGAGCAGTGTCTTTCAGGGATGCAGAAAGGACAAAAGGCGAATTCATAGAGTAACTCAGGGGAGGCAGATGGTGCCTGGAGGGGCAGGCGATGACAGGAAGGGTCCTCCATCGTATCTCCAGGGGCTGACACACTAAAGGCTGGTGGAATAAATAAATGATAATCATTCCAATGACATTTCTTAGATCTATTGAAAATCCCAAACTGCATTTAATATACCTGGAAAATCTAAATAGAATTTCTCACTTTTTTCTTTGTCATTTTGCTGAATTATTTCTCTAGAATAAGAATCCTTCTAATTCTTTCCTGAATGCCTTCTCCTGCACAGTACAAACTTTAGTAGTTCTGTACCATACGTTCACTTCAGATTTCTGATTGTTTATGTTGTGAAGAAAGTATGTCAATTCATGATTTTTTAAATATTTTTTTTCTGAAAGACCAGTTCTTTTCACAGAAAGAGCCCTGAGGTTATTGACCTCAGGAATGCATGAATTTGCTTATTATTATCATCTTTTTTGTAACAGCTTACATTTGTATTCTTATAATACTACATTTTCAGATGACATCTTCTGAACAGGTGAGACTGTGATGTATTTGCCATGTTGGAATATAGAGATTTCTGCAGAGTTAGACAGAGAACAGTCTGCCTAGAGCCGCAGTTCTCCACTCGAGCGTGCATAAGGCTCACTTGGGAAGCTGGTTAAAATGACAGATTTCTGGCCTTATGTGATTTACAAGGGCCCTAGGGATATGAACCTCAAGGACCCCAAGGATTCTGATCTAGATGGTTTCAGGACCACACTTTAGAAATACTAGCTTTGATAATAGCAGCCTCAGCGTCAGGAGAACGTTGATGAATACAGGTCGTCAGGGTGTGCTGTGGAGAAAAGGGGTGTAGTCAGAATTTTGCGGTAAGAGAGGCTCGTCCGGAGTTGGAATTGAGGATTCCTTGATTCTTCTCTAATAGAAGCACTGATGGTCAGACCAGTGAACTTCATGGAATACCCCTATCCTTCTTTTTTTTGGGGGGGTGGGGGGAAGATTGGCCCTGAGCTAACATCTGTTGCCAATCTTCCTCTTTTTCCTTTTTCTCCCCAAAGCCCCAGTCCATAGTTGTATATCCTAGTTGCAGGTCCTTCTAGTTCTTCTATGTGGGACGCCTTCTCAGCATGGCTTGATGAGCAGTGAGTAGGTCCGCACCTAGGATCCGAACCTGCGAAGCCCGGGCTGCCGAAGCGGAGCACACGAACTTAACTGCTTCGTCATAGGGCCGGCCCCAGCCCCATCCTTCTTGATGACCAACCTGAGCATCACCCACTCCCACACACTAGGAGTGCTGTCCATCAGACGACTCTGCATGAAGCCCGTGTTCTAAAGTGGCAGGAATGAGGGTTGAACAGGACCCCATGGAAACCAAACAGCACTCAATGGAAATGGAAATGGAAATGAGCTGTCCCTTTTCTGTGCTACTACTTTATGTGTTTATTTAGACATCTATACCCCTACTTCATTCCAAAAATATTAACAAGGGGAATTTAACTTGGCATCTTAGCAGTCTTAAGTGCGTTAATATGCGTTTTTCCAGGGAGAGGGTCGTTGCTGTCATGGGATTCTCAAAGGGGTTCAGGACCACAAAAGAGTTAAGAAGTACAGATTTTAGGACACTGAGAAGACTGTTGAGCATGATCCCTAAGTCCACATAATCCTCAATGTGATATGGGTTCATAACGAGGGAGCGTCAGAGAAGGAGGAAGCCAGTGGTGCCTGTCTGGAATGTGTGCAGCGCTGTGTGGGATGGTGGCTGGTGCCGCTTCTACCCCTGGGGGTGGGTGCAGGCGGTTCAGAAGGCCACTCTGTCCTCAGGTGGCTTGTAGACAGGAACATACTGCAAACCCACATGAACGATCTACTAAGCAAGATGTAAGTGTGTAGCTCTCGGTACATAAGAACTGAGAAAGCTGAGGATGAAATACTGGCCCTGGAACCGTGCTGTCACAGAGCGAGCCGTTAGATTGGAGAGAGAACGAAGAGGAAACTCTCGTGCCAGTTGCAGTCCAACGTGGCAGCCTTTGCAGCTCAATTTCTAACTCGCAGGAATGATTTCCTGCTCTCTATTGAAATGAAAGTTATTCAGAAGTCCAAGAAAATCCTGAAGAAATCATTTAAAATAAAATTGATGTCCTGTATTCAGCCCAGGAGCGATCATGCCTTCCCTTGCTGAGAGGCGACAGCAGCATGGATGACACAAGGAAGGAATGTTGAATTTGCTTTCTGCCGTGCCACCTTTTTCTTCCTTGATGGAAATGTTTTACCATTTTGTAATTTGTTCTTCTAAAGGAAAGTCTGTGCCCCTCATTTTTCTTGTAACTTAGGCCTTGAGATTTCTGATGCAATTAATTGTTTTTATAATATGGGCACAATGACCCAGACAGGATATGGTTTTATTTCAAGGAGGGGAAATTATATGGACAAGAGTTGTAGAGGTGTATTTGTGGCATTAAATTATTCATAGATAATATTTTTATTGTGCATTACTATGCAGCATCTGTAATACGTAACCACAGGAGTGATACATTTGGGTAATATACTAAACCTAACTCCTCCCTGATGACTATAGTTCATAGACTTATAGAGGAAGGTTAGTATCATTTAGAATGAAATAAGTGGAGAAAGCTGGGATCAATAAAGTGTCCAGAGGTGTAGATAAAGGGTTACATAGAACACTAATCTATAGTAGCAATGTGATTATTACATGGTTTATATGCCAGAAAATGCATTTTATTTTAAAGAAATAATCCAGGTGTAAATGGTTTCTAGTGTGAAAATCATTCACCGATAAAGACAGACCCAGTCGGATCACCTTTGTCTGAATTCAGGAGATGTCCATTGTGGGAGCAAGAACTGGCAAAAAAGTACTCCTACAAAATGGTAGGCTTGCACGCATGGGGGAAACTCGTTTTTCATGTCTTTGAGGCCTAGGGCAGTAAATGTATTCTTATTTTGCCTGTGATCATAGTTGTAGGAGATAGAGTAATGTTTGCCTTCTCTCAGACCTGTGGGGACCATTGTTCCCTCCTGGGCTTGGTGATGGTCAGGTAATTCAGGTCTTCACCCATGTCCTATAGAAAGGCTCCTCCTGCCTTTGTCACCTTCTAGATTGAGGGCCTCTCCATGACAGAGAAGGGAACCGATATGTGGATTTTCTAGAAACTGGGACTGGGGAATATGGAGGGGGGAAATTGGGGTTTAGGGAGAAAGATATCAAAGATTGGTAGCCTTTATAGAAGGTGGTACTGACCCTGGAAATATATGAGTTATAACATCAAAACTGAAGCTACATCAATTTCAGGCCAATAAGGTATGCCTTACTCCACATAAATAGCAAACGTGGCCCCAAGGAAGAGCCCAGCTACTGTCATATCAGAATTGCAACATGAGCAGCCTCTAAGGGCTTCAGAAAGTTCTTTGAGGATCAGTTCACTCTTGAAGTCACCTGCGAACTGAAACAATTTTCCATATCCTTCCTAGATGGCCTTTCTTGCTGATGAATACTGCAACTATTGTCAAGACATTTTGCAAAACGTGAAGAACCAAGAATTTGAAAGGGTAGGGTTTTATCTATAAAATCCAAGCATTTATGATTCATTATTAACCACTTTGCTTGAAAAGACCCCTCCAGCGATGTCTAGTGGTAATTCATTGCACTGAAGTGCTTAGAATGCAGCTATTTTATAGTTAGTGAGTTCTTGAAGGGGATATTTTTATTCAGTTTAATCATTTGGAAATTTTCCAAGGTTCTAATATGGATAACTTTACCCTTTAAATATAAATTCAGCTATTTTTTTAGATCCTGATTCCAGCTGATATTGAATAAAATAGTGGTAATATTATTCACCCTGGAATTTTCAATAATGCTAAAGAGCCATTTTATTGATAGATGCTAACTCAAAAGGAGCAAGATTTTGAAGCATGGCGATCTGACATAGATATTGTAATGACTGGATTTTTATTCTAGAACTGGCTGTGGAAAACGTGAATAAGTCTTTTACTCGTTTTGAATTGTATCTTTTGCAGTAGAAAATAGAAATCCAGGGCAACAAGTGCACATTTAAATGAAAGGCTTTCTGATGCTTCAGTGTTCTAAGCACTTCAACTTTGGGTGATGATACTCATTCAGCAGCAGCACAGTTGGTATGCGCTCAGTGGAAAGCAGTATGGTGAGGGAGAGACCAAGACGTCTGCAGAATGGCCCCAGTCCTATTAATGCAACGTTATAGATATCCACCCACACTGGATAGCTAATATATTCCTTCCTTCCTGCCTTCATTCACTCGTCAAATATTAACTTAATTCTTAACCCTGTGCCCAGCACCATTTCTGGAACTAGGAAGGTAGTCTCCATAAAGCTTGAGAAGTTTATAATCTGGTACTAAAAGGAACAATATAAACCAATAAATATGATACACTGTAGCAACGACTAGAGTAGCAGTAGGATTACACTGTTCTGGGTGCCCAGAAGAGTAACAGAGGCAGCTACAGAGTGCTCCCAAGAGGAGGCCACATTGCTGCTGCCTCTAGTAGAAAAGCAAAGGTTCGGCAGACACAAAATGGGGTAGGAAAGAAATTCCAGATAGAATCAATGGTGCAGGCAATGGCAGCAAGATATCCACAGGCATGACGTGATAAAAAGGTCACTATGGCTGGATTTTATCATCGCTACAGGGAGAAGCCAGAGGGGAGGTGGGAAAGTGGGCTGGCCCTAGGAAGGACCTCATATGCCCTGCGAAGAATTCTGGTTTACTGAGAAGACAGTGGGGCTGCAAGTGGCATAAGATCACCATATTGGAGCAGAGAGGGTGGTAAGGAGGTTTTGTCATAGTCAAGGTGTGAGACGTGAGGAGGGTCAGATCTGGAGCAGTGACAATGACATCAAAGAGAAAAAAGGACAAATTAGAGAAATGTTTCTGAAGCAGACCACCAAGGTTGGATGACTTTGGACTTGGGGATGAGGCATTTAGCAGAGATAAGCCCGTGGCTGATGTCTCATTCAGACCCACCAACTCTGAAAGGCCACGATCCAAAGTTACCAACCTGAGAGTAAAAGGATTAATATGTCCTGCTCACCCCACTATTGTACTTTTTGTTTAATATCCATGAGTCTCTTTGGAGACATCTTCTCTAGAATTCATGCCCCCACAACAGGATTTCAAATCAGGGCCCATCATCAGGTAACTCAAGAGTTGGCCCCAACTCCCTAGACAGCCTGCACGGGGAGACTACCTCCCTGCCTGGAGTCATTGGCAGGTCCTGGTGTCAGGGCTGCGATGCCTCAGAATATTTGAGCCTGCAGAAACCCCAAAAAGGCAAGAATCTTTATTAGCTGACAACTCTGGTTGGCCACCTAGTTCAATAATGGAATCTGAAAGGTCACCAGGGGAAAATAGAGAAAAAGAAGGAAGCTGCCATTTTGTTCACTTATAAAAGTTGTCTGCAAAATCTCTAAAGAAGGCTCCTCTGTAGAATCACAGTCCCCTTCTGCTTACACAGTCCTTAGGTGAATTCTAACTTGATGTCAAGGAGGAAGCCTCCTTGATTACATACTGTTACACCTCTTTCTGAGCTGAAAAATAATTGAGGAGGTCAATGAGTCAATGAACACTTATTCGAAACTATGGTCTGTGCCCCTGTGGCCTGATCCTTACCCTATTATAATCAACAGGAGCCCCCTTGTGGTCAGAGATCGCCTTCCTTCCAGAAAACTTCCTCATGAAAATTACGTTCCATGTTTATCCCATCCGACGCTCTCTGATGCGTTGCTGGAAAGAATACTTCTAAAATACAGCTTGGAAAAGCTGACAGGCAAAGCTTTACATTAATTGGAATGACATTCACCCCGTTATCATTTGGGGCTGATTAAGTCTGTATGGGGGACTAGTGTCACCAGGCATAAAATGAGTTTTCAGAGATATGTTCTATCCCTTACATCAGGTGGAGGATTTGCTTACCTCCTTCTGGAAATCTCTGCAGCAAGACACAGTCACGCTGATGTCATTGCCTGACATGTGCCAGCTCTTTAAATGCTATGACCTACAGCTGTACAAGGTAGGAAGACATTCGTTTGAGTTGCTGGTTTGCATCCTTTCCAGAAATTGATACCGAATGCTGGGGTTTGAGCCACAGCATTCGAGCCTCTCTGCAGTCCCCTCTGGACCACAAGCCTTTTGATCTTTCCCTAAAACTCAGCTTTTCTTTTTGCATTCAGTGAGAGTCTGAGTTTCCTCAAGTAAAGAAAAAGCCAACACACGTGGTGACCTGTGGGTCTAGTGGCCAGTGAACCCTGAACTGAGTAAAGTTCTTTCTCTGGTAATTTCAACAAAAGAAGGCTCTTTTAAATGAGCAATTGGGATAATTGCTTTGGAATATACAAAACTGCCAGAGTTTTTTGTTTTGGGGTTTTTTTAAAGCTCTATCTCTAGAATGATTATTGTAGTTTGGGGGTCAGTTATATTTTCACTACAGTTTCTGTGGTGAAAATGTGTTCTCTTTAAGTTAGTGATGAACTTTTACCTTTTATTTTATTATTCTTAGGAAACGATGTAGTGCTTCTAAGTTTTTAATACAAAGGTTGAAAACTGGAGGCTGGGTTCAGCCCTTAAATTTTCTTGGCCAGAAAACACAGTATAGTGTTTTTTTAAATTTTGAATCAGTTATCAATATTTTTAAATCTGAAAAAAATTCAAATACGGGCCGCACCAGCCTGATGTCCTGCACAGGGAGCAGTGGCGAGGGCTGCGTGGTGGCTGCCCCTCGGACTCCCTCTCTCTGAGTTTGTGGCACCTGTGACCTTTGGCCATTGGTAACTAGAGGACGCCTGCCCTGGCCGGCAGTCACAGTGTCTTGACACTTTTGTTGTAGGGAATTGAAGACCTTCTCCTTCATGACTTTTTGGAAGATGTTTCTATTCAGTACCTGAAATCTGTCCGGTTATTTAGTAAGAAATTTAGGCTGTGGCTCCTCAGTGCTCTGGAAGGTTTTCCAGCCCTCTTACAGATCTCCAAACTCAAAGGTAGGTTTCAGTGAAAGAAAGAAAGAAATTCTGGGAGAGTAGACGAAGTCTCTAACTTACAGACTGGGGCAGGGCATCTCAGCTGGTGTGCACCTCTTTTTCCCCTCACCACTAAACTACAGAGCACAGGCCTGGCCTGTTCAGATCTTCTGGCTTTTTCTTTAGTGCCGATGATGGATTCTCGTGCTGATCCATCCACAGCCTTTTACTGATTCTTCCTTATGAGTAATGACGTGGACTTTGGACAGGTCCGAGGGGTTGGAGATATAGAAAAGGTGCCGCTGACTGTCATAAAGGAGGGGGAAGCTGGCCCGTGCCTGTAGCCGGTGCCAGTGCACGCCTTCTGAAACCAGCCCCCTGAGGGCAGCCCGCAGTCTTGGGCTCCTTGCTGACTCAAGCAGGGCTGCCTAGGGCAACAGCCTTCCGCTCTTTGTGCCCTCTGTGGCCTCACGCTGGGAATGTGATCCCAGTTTGACCCTCTTGGAAATTTTCACTTGGCCAGGCTGGGCCCATGTGTGAATGCCAGCCGAGAAGGCAGCAGGGAGGGGGTGCTGCAGAGAGAAAGCAAGGTCTGGGGCTTGCTGTGAAGGAGGTCCAGGAAAGGGCGGAAGCAGCCCCACTCCAGTTCCTGTGGCCACTTTCACAGCCGCCCTAATTCAAGCCCTCCATCTCTCTCTGTCTCTCCTCTAGGCCACTTCAGTGGCTTCCTAGTTGATCATCCTGCCTCCAGCCTCACCTCCTCAGTCACACTCCCCTCCACACCCAGTGGTCACTCTAAAACAGTGATTGGATCAGTTAACAATCTTCCACTACCTCGATGCCCAGGGTTCCTCTCCTTCATTCCCTCCGCAAAGTTGTTTACTGCTTGGCCTCTGGCCCCATCCCTGGCTCCATCCCCCGAGGGACCCCCACTGGCCTCCCCAGCAACACAAGACTGGTTGTCCCCCAAAAAGGCCCTTATTCCTGCTACTTTCCGTGCCTAGACTGCCTCCCCCATCCCCCATTCCCCGGGCTAACTCCTACTTATGCGTTAAAGCCCAGATTGAATGTCACCTTCTAAGGGAAGCCATCACCTTCTTCCAGGCAGCCCTCTCCCTACGCTGAATCCCTCACTTTCTTCTTTCCTGTGCTCTCACATTGCCAGGGAGCACTTACCTGTTGTTGAAAAGTCGTTTGCATATCGGTGACCCATCCTGCGAGGGTGAGTCCCTCAGGGGTAGAGGTTGACCTCCTCTATCCACAACTCAGCAAACACCCAGCCTACACTGATGGAGTAAATGCTGCACGAGTGTGTCCTGTGAATATTTGTCAAATGCACCAATGAATACACACGAGAGGAGAGCACCTCCCCCTTCAGGCTTTCTTTTTTCATCCTTTCTTTTCCTTCGATCGTTTTCCAAGCAGAGCACTGTACAGTTGAGAATGTTGGGAGGACTCAAGGTTCCTGGGCAAAACCCCTAAACTCCTTTGAGCAGGCATGTCAGATGCTGCGATTACGTGATTTTTCTGGCTATGGAGTATTTAGTCAAGTGGCCCCAGAATCTCCTAGCCACTGGGGAAAGGGCCAGCGGGCAGTGGGAAGACCAGGATGCCTGGAGGCCTCACTGTGGGGCAGGGTTGAAGCTGTGCCTTCCTAGGCAGACATGAGCGCCTCCTGTATGCACCTCCTCCTCCCTGCTGTCGCACATAAGATCTCGAAGTTATAGTACCAATAATGGCCGTGTGTATTGCTCTTAACAGAAGTTACCGTGTTTGTCAAAAGACTAAGAAGAAAGACTTACCTTTCCAACATGGCAAAGGTAGGTTCCAGCCGGCCAGAGAGGAGGGAACAAAGCAGTTCCTCAAGTGAAACGTGACGGCTGCAAGTATCCCCAGAGCAGTTGGCAGCTCCCTTCGCAGGGAGGCTGTTTCCATCCCCCTAGAGGGCAGAGGGCAGACAGGCGCACCTTGCTGGCCACTGGCCCGGAAGGCCTGGTGGGCCTGAGGCTCTCAGCTAGAAGCCCACCTCTTCCTTCCTCCTCAGAAAGGCTCCAGTCACCACAGCTCTGCTGGTGCAGAACAGAAGCAGGTCGGCTGCTAAAGTTCCGGAGGGAGGCCCCATGAGTTGCCCACCTGGGCCAGCCAGTCAGAGGTGAAGGGGCATCGTAGCAGAGCCTAGGACAGACAGACAAACCCTTCACCCTGTGCGTGGTCCTGGGGACTCGGTGTGTCGGGGCTGCCAGGTCCTCAGCTCTGACCTTTCACTCCTGGAGTGATTACATAGCTTCAGGCTTAGAGGAAGGTAGAGAAGGGCTGAACAAAATGTTCTATAATGCTGGCACGTGGGCCACCCAGGCATCTGTTCTGAAATCCTGTGGGCACCAGATCAGGACAGAGCTTGGGACGGCGCTCTGCTCCAAGTCTGTCCCAGCTCAGGGGGCGCTCAGCCAGGCTTCCGTTTCACCATCTCCACCCTCCCAGCACAGAGCTCTCCCTAGACTCGGAGCTCCTGAGGGTGTTTCCCACTTATGTGCTCACGGCCCCTCCAGTTCCCCAGCACTCTCCCATTCCTGGCTGGGTCAGCTGGCAATGGCCCCGCAGCAGGACCTGCATCCCAACCCAGCTCACGTGGCAAGCTCGGGTTCCAGAGCAGCCCCTGCTCCAAACCGTATCTTCACACTTACTATCACTTGGGAAAGTTAACTTACTGCCCAAGTGCCCTCAGGTTCCTCCTCTGGAAAATGGAGGTGGCCACAGTGCCCACTCCTAGGGCTAGTGTGAGGACAACCACTGCTCACCCTACAGACTCCAAAAATGTAAGGGAGTGGATTGTCTCCTGAGGAAATCAGCTTCTGGAGGCTAAATTCATTGCCCAAGGCTCCCAAGAGGAAAGGACAGAGACATCTTCTGAATCCTGCCGCCACCCTCCAGAATTGGCCAACGCTGTTGCTTCTCCAGAGCCACACTTCCTTTGTAGACCCTCCATCACCCACTGTTCTCCTCTCTCAAGTAGCTTAGGCTTGTTGAACAGGGTGCAGAGAATAAGGAACAGGGAGAGGAAGAGCCGCAGTGCCCTGAGTGCTCATCTGCCTACGAGCAGAAGCACTCTAAATGCTGATTTTCAGAAAGGCAGTTCTAGAATGGGTGAAATTCTAACATTTAATTGTCACTTAGGATTCAGTTTTAATGGGTAATACCCAAATCTGCTCTTCCTTCTCTCTGACAACAACAAAAAATCTTGGTAATTTGGTGAGGGGGGATTAGACAAAAGTAAAATGACGAGATTTAATTAAGGATCATGCTTCCGTATTATCTTTAGACTATGAGAATGGTCTTGGAAAATAACCAGAGAGTCAGCATCCTGAAGTCGGATGTACACGCCATCATCAGTCAAGGCGCTCTGGGTATTTCTAAGAAAGCCGTGCCAAGTGACCTGAGTAGCGTGGATGACCTGGAGAGGAACTCGGAGATGAAATGTAATCTTCCTTCTGCCGCTTGCTTTGTCAGAATGTTGGGGATAGATTTGGGGCTGGCATGGCCATCACTAATCTATGAATTTCTTAATAGAGGTAGAACGTTAATTTACTCTTTGATATTATAATTTATCTGGTCACACAGCTCTTCCTGCAGGGGGAGAGGAGTGCCTCTGGGAACACTCTTCCAGGGCCTACCCAAGTGTCCGCTGGGCTGTCATGCTAGTACATGTTTGTTGAGTGAATGAATGGACAGATGAATGTGTTTGCTGTTTGACAATATTTCTTTCTGGAGATCAACCTGGCATGTCTCCTTTGGAAAAAAACTTCTGCATCCATCTTGTACATGCACAGATTCAACGGTGTCTCTTCTATCCTGTCTGAATTGGATTAAGTTAGCTCTCCACCTAGCCAGATTCTTGCCTCTCCCAGGCACTAGCTACCCCAGAAATCCCAGATGGTCATCCAAACCCTGCTCTTGCCCCAGCCCCAAGCCCAGGGAGCCCCAGGAGGGCATGAGGCCTCTCCCCAGGTGCCTGCCAGGCTGTCCTCCGGCCTGCCGGGCTCCTGTGCTCCTGTTAGCATCCTTGTGTGTCTTTCCAAGAGCGCACAGAGTCGGCAGGAAGACAGCATGCCGATAGCCACTGCTGACACCTGACAGGCAAGTGCTTGAGCGGTACCTGGAAGATCTTCCAGATGAACCCTGAACAAGCCTCAGCGAGGGCCATGGCAACCTGCTTGGTTTCCTACACTCTGCTTGGTACATGGCGGCACTCAAAGAGGGAGGCCAAAGGCTGTTCTTTTCCCCTCAGTGCTGCCTGTGCAGGTGGAGGACCCACATCCCGAAGGCACACATGCGCGGGCTCCACCCTCCAGGTCTGTACTCACTGAGTCTGTAACCCCAGGCAAGGCACTCAACCTCCCTCAGTGGCTTTGATGTCCACCATCAGTTAAAGGACACTAATAAACTACCCCTTTTATGAAAATGGCAAGGATAGGTGAGGTCATGTCTGCAGCGTGTGGTGAGCTCATCTGAAGCCAGGTTCTGTATAATTACAAGGTGTAGTTATTATTTCAAAATATTTCTTTCCATTTCAACAAGTGGCGGAGGTGGTTCTCAAGAGGCCAGACCATATGACTCTGAACTAGATGACCACAATGGTGACAAATCCAGCCGTAGAATGCATCCTTTGTGTGCAAAATGAGTGTGAGGCCCCAGGGAATTCCTTTGAACTACTGTTCAGATGTTGTCCCCTAGGTTACCTGGTATACAGATACCTACAGAAAAATTCTGCTATGTTGCTCCCAATCTTTTTGTTTGCTTTGTCTTTTTATAGGTTTAAGCAGTTTAATTTGTTTACTGGGGACGTCGACAGACCTCAGTGTATTCCTGGATTGTCTGTCTTCAAATCTCCAAGTATTTGTCTTCCAGGTACAAAACCGTGATTTTTTTAAAGGGAAGAAATGGGTGTTGATCATTCTAGCTACATTATAGCACTGAATGCTATATGACCTGGAGGAATGACAGAGATTTTTTTCTGGCCAGAAATGTGTCAAGGCTGGTGTGGGTGTTAATGACAGGGATGTGGCGTCTCACTCCTGTAGCGAGGCAGATTCAGAGGCTGGCACATCATGCAGGTGTGTGTTTGCAGGTGAGCACATGTCTGCATGGGTGAACATGTGTGTGCTCAGGTGAATGTGAGTGTGCAAGTGAGCATGTATATGCACGTGAGTGTGTGTGAGGGTGGATGAGCATGTGTGTGCAGGTGAGCATGGGTGAGTGTGTGCGTGCACCAAGCGAGAGTGTATAGGAGGAGGGGGAGTTTTGTCTGTTTGGAGGGAACAGTGCTTGTCTGGATATTTTGCAGAAACATCCCAGTAAAGTGTCAGGCTTGATTTCACAAAATCAAAAAATGAATTGGTTTTGGATGTGGGTGGATTTGGCCTTTCTGGTCAATATCACTTGGAAGTTACTGCAGTAGGCTCCTTTAGCTTGATTGTCATCATCTTCTGCATCAGCAGTCATGCTTCAAGATCTGAGAGTGCTATTAGAGAAAGCCACAGCACCCTTGCCCCATTGGGCCCCCAGCGGGTGGGTGGGGAGCTGGGGGCTAGGTATTAAAACTTCCACCCAAACAAAGCAGCCAGGGGCCTCCCATCCCTTGAGGCATCATCCTTTGAAGGCTGAGGCAGTTAGGAAAGGCCTTGACAAGGGAAGTGGGATTTAAACTGGGAGGGGAAGGGTGGATAGGATTAAAATAAACTAAGAAAGGGAGACAACATCCACGAGAGAGAACGGCATGAGCAGAGTGAGCATGTGGAAAAATGGAGGACCTATTTAGGGAAGAGAAACAAGACGTCTCTGGAGCAGAGAGCAAAGACTTGGAGGGCCTGGTACTGGAACACAAGTTTGGGCCTTCTCCTTTAAGCCTCCAGTCACATTTCTTTCTCTCCCCCTTCCCACCTCGCCCGACCCTGTCCTTGAAGTCGAGAAAGGGTAGAAATAACAACTGAGCCCACAAAGACCGCGGCGGGCATTGGGGTCGCAAACCTCATAGAGGTGAACCAGAAAACTCCTCAGGAAGGAGCTTGAAAGCTGGTTCCAACCCTTGCAGGTGTCTGTTTCCATTCTTTGCTTCTTGAAAATAATCATTTCAGATTCAGTGTGGTTTTTATTCCTCCTCCTCGATCTTTGGCAAAACTTATTTATAACAGTGGTAATGTGTCTAGAGTTGCATTGCTGTGGCGACATTAATTCATTCGATAGGTCGTCACTGATAGGAGCTTTCAACCCTCCGTTCCTTGTTGTGGATACTCAGTTGGCCTCTGACTAAGACGAGACTGTTAATACCAGTCCTGCCCCGAAGCAGCCCGACATGCCTGTCCTACATTTTAGACCATGTTTCCATCATCGTGTCTTCAGCCTTCACAAATGAGGCATGTTAGAAAAGTGGTGTTTTTTGTAACTGTATGCCTTTGAAGGGCTTGTTTTTGTAAAACAGCGTGGGTGATTAAAAACAGACTATTGTCAATAAAATACTCAGACTGTTAAAATGTAAACCCTTGGGCTTGTCAGAGATGACTAATGGCTTCAGTGGCTGGCACCTGGCAGCGTGCTCGCTTACAGAGGGCAGTGTTCATCTGTGTCCTGGGTTTTGTTCTCCCTGTCCTCGTGTGGTTCAGGCCCAGAGTAATTTCTAAATGTAGGAAGCTGAAGTGCCACACTGGTGGCCAGCGGAGGGACGCTCAGTAATGTTTATGGTTCACGTCTAAACGTCTGTGCAGAGAGCGCTGATTGCCCAGAGCTACTTCTCCCGATGCTTTGAGAAAGTGTCCCTGTGATCGGTGGACACCAGGGGTCCTCCCAAGAGCCCCATTTCAGGTGGTCAGAAACACCAGCCCAGGAGGTCACAAGTTGTGGGGGGAGGAGGCTGCTACTGAAGGGAGTTCACGTCCACCCAAAGCCCAGGGCAATCCTTTGGTACGTGGGGGGCTTCCGGTGGGGGCAGAAGAGCAGAGAAGCGAAGGCGAGAAAGAGCATTTCCTTGTTTCTAGCCAGTCTCTACATCTCTTCTTCAGAGACTGGTGTTGAGCCAGTGGGTGGTCCACTGGCCTAAGACGAGACTCAGGAGGGGCTTCAGGGCCATTCGTTCCAACACGCACATGTGAAATTCATTGGTTTGTAATTCCTTTAAAGTGTGGCCCAAGGCTACTTTTGATCTAGATGGATAGTTTCTTAGTCTGCATGTAAAGGTATCTCACTAGTACCCAGTTTAGTGCCACTCAGATGACCTCGGCTCCACTGGACACACAGGTGGGACCTTCCGGTCCTCAGCTAATTTACATGGCACAGTGGCCAGCTTTGTGCTTTTCAGAATCAGCGCCAGTTCTTTTCATCATTATGGGATGCTGTGCCACTTTTTCACAATATCAGACTTGGCAAGTGTGAAATAGCCACCGACCCTCTCGATGGTGACTGCCAGGTGGACTTCAGGAAGGCTGCCCCTGCTGTCTTTCTCTGTCACGCTTCACAAGTGACGTCTTTTTTTAAATTGTGTGGGATTGAAAAAAAAAACGTAGGCCAATTTCCCACCTCCTTCCTCCTCTCCACCAACTTCAAAGAGTTCTGCCCTGGAATTGTCTCCACAGGAGATGGAGCGAGACCGAAAGTAGGCTGGGGGGCCACTGCCTCTGTCATTTCTTCTTCCTCTTCTCGTGGGCCACTTGAAAATGCCCATGCCTGTGTATTTGAAAACATGTTCTTCTTGATTTTATCATAAACCCAGCATTTTTTCTCACAAAAATGTAATAGCCAAGCAGAAGCAAAGAGGAGTTTATCAAATTGGCCGCCAGCTTCCAGCTAAGATGGAATTTCCTTCTCACCGCCGTGAGCAAAGCCATGACGCTCTGCCGCAGAGACAGTTTCGGTGAGTCAGAGAACACAAAACGTTTTGCATCCTACCTTTTAGAAATGTTATTATAGCGTAAGTATTTTCCATATTGCCATGTAAGAATCCACTCATCTTCTTTTAACCTTTTTATGTAAAATACAGCACAGACGCAGGAAACCATACAAAACCCTAATCATCTTTTTTTAATGGCAACGTGATAGTTGATTAAACAGATGGACCCTGCTGCACTTTCCCATTCCATCACGGTCAGTTGCGTAGGAAGCCTCCCCTTGTTTTTGAATTGTTTGCTTTGGGACATTTTGAGAAAAGCACTGAGGAAGATAAGTGAGATGGAGAAAAAAGTGGGTTCTTCAGGGCACCCATGTTTAATTTCCAGGAATAACAATTGGTAAAGTCACCATTGTATGCAGATGGTGGAAAGAGTGACATAGTATAGTATCCGTTTTGCAAACTTTCTGGTCGGATAGATGGTCTTTCTCTATGAGGAGGGTCCCATCTGTCACACCTGTGGCACAGATGCAGTGTAGGAGAGTGGTAGGAAAGGCAGCTCACCACTGAGCCCTCAGCCCCATGGAAAGGATCATCTCAACAGATACTTACTGTGTCCCTACAAAGGCCCGGGCACCTTCCTGGGCACTGGGCATACAGCAGTGGACAGTGTCTCCGCCCCTATGAGCTTACACACTAACGGGTGTGAGGAATCCCTGCTCCAGAGGGCTGCCGGATGCCCTCACAGCAGGGAGGCAGAAGACGGAAGAGAAGACAAGCCCTGTTGTAGATCAGTTTTGCAAACATTCCGGAGCTCTTTTGAGGGTTGCTACTGTAAGCTGCCAGATAGGTGACACCCATTTATAATGAGGCCCTTCCTTTAATGAAGGCCAAAATGGCTCTGCTTTATGCTAATGCTCTTCCAAAGCAAAGTGATAGAGCAGAGTTCATGTGCCATAGGGAAAGAAATCCACTCCCCACCCCCTCCGCCTCTGCCTTCTTTGGACCTCCATATGAATTCAAAATATTAACACCAGTAGTTTTTCCTCTTCACCTGGACTATGGTTTCGCGAGGTTAAATAGGCCAGGAGTTGTTGGTCAGGCTTATTCCAGACCAGGTCATGGCATCCCACGGGGCCAGTGTCTCTCACCGTAGATCCATCAAGCAACAGAGAACATTGTATAAGACTTTGAAATGGACGGAAAGATTACTCAAAATGGACAAAAGGCTTTGAAATAGGCAAAAATGTCTGGCACACCCTTCTGAGTTATCTCCACCTTTCAGTGTCTTTGAGTTAATTCAGAACTTGGTAAATTGCATCAAACTGATGACAGAGCAAACGATTCTCCTCCACAGAAATGCAGACTAGTTGTGTCAGATGGATGCAATTGGTTACTGCCCTGAGGACAGATCTTTTTTGCATCTATTTGTAAATTAATGTCAGCATTCTTTACTGTCTATATATGTTTAGTACTTTGAATTCTCCTTTGAACCAGTTGCAACATCTTACTACTTCCCTCATTATTAATGAGTTCATAAAATCTTTGACAGGTGTTCATTTTATATCTGTATAAGAGTCGTGGTTTTATCTTCATTAAAAAACTATCTTTTGGGGCCAGCCCTGGGGCATAGTGGTTAAGTTCGGCACATTCCACTTTGGTGGCCTGGGTTCGTGGGTTCGGAGCCCAGGCGTGAACCTACACCACTCATCAGCCATGCTGTGGCAGCGATCCACGTACGAAATAGAGGAAGATTGGCACAGATGTTAGCTCAGGGCCAGTCTTCCTCAGCAAAAAACATAAAATTATCTTTTAACAATTGCAATAGGCCAGATCTCCCATCCGCTTCTCAGCTGACATTATTTATCCTTTTCTTTTCTGGGAGACCAAAGGCCTTGGGATTTGGAGTGTTCAGCTGAGTCACATGCCCCCCTGTATCCCCTGCACAGTCTCCCTGATGAAAGCCCTTGCAGGCCCACATGAGAGAAAGCCTTTGAGTGCTGAGCACCAGCCAGCCTCCTTTACCCACCTCCCTCACCGGAGATGCAGGCACACAGACTGCGGCAGGGGAAAGGAGCTATTCTGCCGGCATCACCGAAGGGCGCCAGGATCCCTTCCACACTCGGCCTCCTCATCTCCTCCACCCTCTCCCTTACTCCCTGCCTGCCAGTGGGAGGCTGGGGGCACATTTCCCGCCCTGGGAGGCACCCATTTTTCTGTAGGATTTGCTTTCTCCCATCTCTGGCTAGATGAGCTCCAAGTTCCCTTTCCCAGCTCAGGCTATTTCACTCTCTGTGCTTTCGGTCCAGAAGCCGCCTTGCTGGGTTCTGTGGGTCGGGAACGCCGCACAGTGGTGGGGCCCTGCCCGGGACCCCTCAGGAGCAGCTGTAGGAGTGAGGCTCTCACACACAGGAGTTAAAAGCCCCAGACAAGTTGTTCGTTTCACAGTGATCTGTTTATTTGTCCATCTGTCTATCTATCTATCTAATTATTCGTGTCTGGTTGTTATTTAAATGTAGGCTCCTGGCATCTGTTTCATTTGCTTCTTTTGGAATATGTGATCCATATTCTTCAGTCATGCATAGAGGAGGAGGACGACGTGGGAAACCTCAAGGAAATGCTCCCAGATGACCAGTCTCTTGTCCAGCCAGACGAGGCACTCGTCCACCCTCCAGATTCTTCACCAACACAGGACTGTGCAAGTCCGAGTGTGGATCCACACTGGGTGACGCTGAAACGCATGAGCCAGAGCCCATGTCCCCTGGGTGTGAGCGGTGTGGTTCTCAGGGTCCTGGGCTTCCTGGTGGACACTGCCACAGGCAATAAGGTACAGATGCTGGGGCCCCAACTTCCACACAGCTTTTTAAGGGCAACGAGAACCACCAGATGGTTAGGAAACCCATAAAGGTCACATTGTCCGAACAATGATACAAGATATTAGATACATCTTTGCTTTAGGTGATTTTTCTAGAAGTGATTATAGTAGCTTATCTGTTGATCCCTGGTCGGCTCAGCTTCGTGGTGTGCTGACGTGTGCCTGGCACGATTAGAGGTGTGGAATATTTGGGTGGCCTGGGTTTTGCCTCCCCAGAGCTTGCCTGGCACGGTTAGACTCCCTGAGCAGTAGATCACCACGAGCTGCTAAACTGAGTGATACGCAAGGAAAATGCCTCTGGCGTCCAAAGAAAGGAAACGTTGAATAGTCTGAACAAAAAGGATTTTTAAAAGGTGGAATCGGGGTACATCTTGAAAGATAAAAATCGGAATTGCTGTTTATGTAACACCTGCTATATACTCTTTATACACATTATCTTGAAGCCATACAACCCTGCATAGTATCTGTTCTTATCGTTTTCATGCCATGGATGAGGAAACTGAGGCTCAGAGAAGCTACGTGACTTGCACAAAGTCACACAGCAAGTAAACAGTGGGACAGAGAGTGGAGCCCTGGCCTGCTTGATCTCAAGTCCATTCTTCTCCCACAACACTAGATCAGGGGAGGGTGGTCCATGCCCCCCGGAGAAGAGTAGGACACAGGTTGGAGAGGTCAGAGATGGGGCCTTGAATGCCAGGAGGAGGACTCAGACTGATGCAGGAAGCAGCTGAAACTCCTCGGTGATGCAGGAGAGGGAGTGAGCTGGTTTAAAAACAATCTTGAGGGCCGGCCCCGTGGCTTAGTGGTTAAGTGCGCGCGCTCCGCTGCTGGCAGCCCGGGTTTGGATCCCG